TAAGTTCAAGAACATAGAAAATATCAAAGACAACTTTATAATACAAACTCTCGTTTTTGCACTGATTGTTGGCAAGAGAATTGATAAAATCTTGTGTCTTTAAGCCGCGGTAACTCTCCTGAAATTCTCCCAGGTCGAATCCCATTTAAAAACGTGTTTACAGTATATTTCTACCATGTAAGAATAGTTTTACACCGAAATATCCTTACCAAGGGGAAATAGGATTACACTCATTGGCGGAGTCCAGGATTTTAATTAAGGGGGGTCAAAATATAAATAAGTAAGCACACAAAAAAATCAAGGAGAGTCAACGTATAGTATATACACATAAAATTAAGAATTTAACATATTTATACAGTGTAATTTTCCGGCAGAAAGGTATCAATTGACTCCCCTTGCTAATGAGTGGCTCCGCCACTGATTACATTGCGCCAAAATCACATTGCCACGCCATGCAGCACGTCGCAATGCACGGCGTGCCAGTGGAGAAAATCGTATGGCTGTTCGTTTGTACCTAGAAAAGTGTATAGACAGCCCCTTGTTGGACATTGAAGTCACGTTGTGACTTTGGAAATGTAATAACCTAAAATATTTTTTATATTTATTAATTGTGGGATTGAAAAAAGAATTAATTTAGTGTGTATCTATAGTCGAAATACTAAGTTAGTGGAAGAAAAATTTATTATAATATATATGAGATAGTATACTAGTTAATTTGCTAGTGAGATAATTCATATTACATATAATAGTTGGATAATTATGGGCCTAAATTAATAAATTAAGGAATTGGGCCAAGCCATCCCAACGACTGCCCACGTTATATGAGAACATTAGGGTATTAGAATAAGGAATATAATTTTCTTGGTTTATAAACGTGAAAAAAAACTAGATGAAGAGCATTGGGAGTATTGACGGGGCTAGAGACAGTTACTACTTACTACCATGAAAATCTTTTACAATTTTATAAGGTTCAAATTGAGGCCATTGGAGGCTGTTTGGTTGGTATTTTGGACGTTGCAAGAATAGAGAACTTGTCGTTAGGGAGGTAAGTGAAACTTTAAGCTTTGATACTTGCTTTTCTAAAATTCATTTTAAAAATATATTTTCTCTGTCCGGTCCATGTGTTGGGACAAGCGTGCGCTTGGCAGAGTTGGTGGCCTTAGACTAGCCGCAAATATATTATTTTATGAAAAAAAAATTATTTTATAAGTTGTTTGATAGTTTGATACGGATGTGCGTCATGATGTTGAGTTTGATACGGCTATGCGCCATGATGTTGAGTTTGATACGGCTGTGTGCCATGATGTTGAGTTTGATACGGCTGTGCGTCGTGATAGATTTGGGGCATAGTGTATGCCGCCGCTATATATTTGGGGCATTGAGTATGCCGCCGTGATAGATTTGGGGCATTGTGTATGCTGCCGTGATAGATTTGGGGCATTGTGTATGTTGTCGTGATAGATTTGGGGCATCGTGTATGCTGCCGTGATAGATTTGGGGCATTGTGTATGCCGCCGCTATATATTTGGGGTATTGTGTATGCCGCCATGATAGATTTGGGGCATTGTATATGCTGTCGAGGACTCGTTGGGGTGTTTGCTTAATTTCCTGCACTGCCGTTAATGACAAGTCCTTAGTGTAGATTGTGTTGAGATATACATATATATATATATATATAGTATTGTTGTTAAATAATTGTTTGAACCTTATAGAGTAATTATATGATAAAAGAAGTTCTTTGCGTATTATTTGTGTGCTTGTTATGAGTTTTTATTTTCTAGTACTTATTCCAGAGGTATTCAGAATGGCGGGTCGAGGATCTTACTGGATTATATTTGCGTATAACTCACTCCTTACATGCTTGTCTATGCAGATACTATTGGTGAAAGTGGAGCTAGTAGCCGACAAGTTCGCTATAGTTGATTCAGTTATTGAGGTGAGCCGTCGCATTGTTCGTGGGGGCTGCTCAATGAGTCTTTATCATTTATTCATATGAGGTCTTTTTCAATTCCCTTAGATGCTCCATGGTCTGGTGTGGGATTTGGACAAGAATTTCAGTATAATATTTCAAAATATAAATTGTGTGTATTTAGTTGTCAGATTATTTTGATACTCTTATTATTAATCAAATACTGTAAATTAATGGCTAAGGTAAGAAAGTATGGGTTGCTTGACGGGTGGTATTAGTTGGGTGTCAGTCACATCTTGGGGTAGTTTGGGACGTAACAAGAAAATATGAACTTGCTCAATTGTAGCTTGCTGTATATATTTGAATTGCCACAATGTTTGTCACGTTGGCAGACACAAAGTGTTCCCAACTTTTCATGTTAGTTCCTCCACTTCTACTTTCTCTTTTTATTTCTTTCTTTTGGTATTCAGCCCCCGAAGTTAATCTCAACTTAACTCTCGAACTTTTACTCAGACTTCAAAATTCTCTTTTTATTCAATTTAGCTTCAAAAAATCGTCTTAATCCGGAATCTCAACTTACACAATAAAAATTACATATTAAGTATAAATATAATTGTCCATATTTTAGTTCAAATGCAATTAAAGTATAGCAAAGAATAGGTGTAAAGTAGCCAAAAACTCGTATCTCTAGCCAGGGGCGTATCTATGTTAGAACATGTGGGGCATATGCACCCATCCTCTTGCCAAGTAAAAGCAAACTTTGTACAAATTTTGAATGGTTTAGCCATATAGAATAGATGACACCCATGCTCAAATTTTGGCATTGGTGCCTCCGATCGAGACCCCATGGACACACATTAATATAATACTATGTATTTAGTTTGTATTTCGTAGCTCTTTTTGGTTTAGTTCTATTTTTTCACTTTTTATCATTCTTTCCCTTTGGTTTATTTTTGATTGTCCCAGCTTGCATTTGGTGGACAATTTGAAAAGAGAGAAACCAAAGATGCTTTGAAGATAAATACAGCTCTATCCAGAAACTGAAAATGCAATGTTTATCCCTTTTCTATTTTTGGTGTAAGCAAGAATACATGGAAGATCTAGAGTCTTTTGTTGATGTTTTAGGATCCTTGTAAGTAGGTTAAGGCTTAATACACTTCTGTCCCACCTTTTGTATCTATGGATGATTGCACTAGCTTTGGTGCAGTTAATATATGTATATAACAAATGTTACCTTCTTAAAAAAAAAAACATTTTTTCCCTTTTTATCTCCTTCTCCTAGTCTTCATGGTAAACAACTACTTAAGGAGTCATAGATTAGACTACTTATTACTTCCATTGAGATTTGCCTTATCTTGAACAACTATAAATTGGTTTTACTATAGATATTTTATGTGACAATAAGATCTAAGTCCATTATGCGATTTGTTTAACTATTGTTATCCCAAATTATTGCTTAAACATATTTGAATTTCAATCAAATTATTGATATTCTTTTTCAAATTTTTAGGATAAAATATACTTTTCTTTTTTTTGGATAAGCAAGTCACATATAAAGAACTCATCATATGTTCTAAGAGCTTTTGATGTTTTAATTCTTCTTTTAGCTATAAAATTTGCAAAGTTTCAAATTTTACAATATTAAATTTTCATTAGTATCCTACTTTCCCTTTTTATGTTGAATTTTATGGGAAATCCTGAACAGGTTTTAAGATAAACATTATGCAATCATTGTCAAATTATAATTGATAATATTAATGATACACATTTTAGATTAGCAAGATTATAATTTATCTCGTTGAGTAATGTGCAAAATTATTAATGTCATAAAACACTCAAAAAAAAAACATCACTTGATATTATGACAAGTATTGTAGTGCACTCATGGTCTTAAAATCCCGGATCCGCCTCTGTCTCTAGCCTACCATCAAAATCAAACTGCGTTGCTGGTTTATTCCACAACAAATAGTAACGTATTTGTTGTCTGTGACAACTAATTTTTTGCAAGTTCAGTGGACGAGATTGTATTTTACACACACACACACAAAAAAAAAAAAAAAGAAGGAGAAGAAAAAAGATGGTGTCCAGACTGCTCAACTCCACCTTCTCCTCCCACCAGCACATGNGGAGGGGTCATGCAAAGAGGAATGATATAATAATTTTAGTAAAAAAAAAAAAAAAAGAAGGAGAAGAAAAAAGATGGTGTCCAGACTGCTCAACTCCACCTTCTCCTCCCACCAGCACATGTATCAAATAATTCTGCCCACCAAAATTAAGGCAAGTGTGAAGAATTCATGTAATGTCACCTCTGCTGGAGTTTGAACCTTAGTAAGGTTGTAACCCTAACTCCTAGACAGCTAGGGGCAGAAGAAAATCATATTAACTAAAGATAATTTTGCAGGTTGTTGTTTTAAGTATATGTGTGTTGGGAATAAACCCCTTACCAAAATAATATTCACGGTAATAAAGCGGAATAATAATGTAGCACCGAGATACGGTAATTAACAAGAATAAAAGAGTAACAATGACACCAAGATTTTTACGTGGAAAACCCTTCTGAATAAGGGAAAAAAAACCACGACCCCGAGAGGAGCAACTGATATCACTATAGTAAGGAATTTTACACTTTGTAGGTCGGAGGTAAATACTCCAAAGACCACTACAACACTCAAAAGAAATAACCCTCTTTTGATATTCCCACCTCACTACAATATCGCTCACTCTCTATTTTCCTCACAGACTATTTTCTTATACCTTGTCTGTGAAACCTCACTCTTTCTTTCTCTCTTTGTTGGTGTGAAGAAATGAGAGTTGAAGCTCTCCTTTTATAGCCAAAGCTTCACCCTCTAAAGCCTACAATATTTGACAATTTACACACATTTTTCACAATTCAACAAAGTTGGCTACCAAACCAAAGAAATTCAACAAGGTTGGCTACCAACCAAACCAAGTCAACAAGGTTGGCTACCAAACCAAAGAAAACTCTTATTAGGCACATGCCTAATACTTCTTCAATGAGATGGACATCATCAATGTGAAACAAAGAAACCCACACATTAGGCTTAGGCAAAACTTCAATCAGACGTCTCAATTTGAATTGTATCAGTTGACGGTCAAAGTTTTGCACCCGGAGGATAATCCTAAGCAACATTTTAAAGCATATCGTTTAAATGAAAATGTAGCACTTTTTATTTTTGTGGATCAAGAGTCCTAAGAAAAAGTGAAAAGAGTAGATTCCATCTCAGCAACAACATTTAAGTTGTCATGGACCTGGTATGCTCCATGAAAGTAACCAGAACATGACTAAGCCTTTCAAGTTTGAGGTCCCTCAAATTCCATGGGTACTTTAGCTATCTATTTCTGCTCTGCCATTCGCTGAGTCTCAGCACTCTTTCCACATATCATAAATTCCAAGCAATCCACCATGGAGCAACTCTTGTGATTCCTAGCTTATAAAATTATTTTAAAACAAACAATTATCAGAGATTTTCCATTTCAATGTAAAAAATATCTTCATTGCTGAAAGATTACGCAACAAAGTCCAGATACAACAATTTTATTCTTGTTTGTGAACAACTAATTTCGTGCAAGTTCGCTAGTCGAGATTAAGTCTTACACACACACATGGCCATGTCTAGACTATGCGCCTAGATTAAGTACCAGATACTTGCTACCTCCAACCAATACAAGTATCGAATAATTTTGTCCACTGAAATTTAGGCAAATGCGAAATTCTCATACAGTCACCTCCATTGGGTTTTGAACCTTAGTACCCCAGGTTGTTACTCCAACTACTTAACCGCTAGGGGGCACATGCAAACCATATTGACTAAAGATAATTTTTCTGGTTGTTGTTTCTCATAATATGGGAACCAATGAAGCACACACCTAGGTGTAGGCAAGATTTCAACAAAAAACACTCATTTAGATTGTATTAGTCACCTGCCAAAGTTTGCACCCTAAAGCTAATCCAAACCAATATTTTAAAGCATATGGTTTAAAACACAACACAGCGCTTTTTAGCTTTTGTGGATGAAGAGTCCTAAGAAAAAGTGAAAAGAGTAGAGATTCTATCTCAGCAAGAACATTGAAGTTGTGGACCTGGTAAATTCCACAGAAATCACCAGAGCATGGCTAAGCCTTTCAAGTTTGAGGTCCCATTTGATCATGGCACTTTAGGTACCTATTTCTGCTCTGCCATTTGCTGAAACTCAGCACTTTTTAGACAGGTCATAAATGCCAAGCAATACGTAATGGAGAAATTCTTGTTATTCCAACGTTTATAAAATCATTAAAGCAACAAAACATCCTTCAGTGATTATTCCATACAAAAACCAGATATATTAATCTTAAATCTTGATGGCGAACAACTAATTTCATGCAAGTTCACTGGCCAAGATTGAAAGCTTTATTGAAAATCCAAGATAATTTGATGACAAGCAAATTAATACTAACTAAAGATAACTATACTGGTCGTTGTTTTTCATATTATATAAACCAAAGAATTCCTCACAATAGGCCAAGGCAAAGTTGGCCAATCCTTTTACCTTTTCCTGATGTGACTATAAGAGAAAAAGTTTATGGAGCAATTGGCAGAAAGCAGGAACCAACACCAAGCGAAGGAACAAAACTGATAGCCTCTTTTAATACCTGGCTTTTTTATTTAACTGTGGGGAAGCATGCCTCAGTTTTTGGTGGATTGAGGCCCTTTCCGATCCTTGGGACTTTATGTATCTATTTCTGCAATGTCATTTGCCAAGCATCGTTACTTCTTCTGACTTAGTTGACAGCCACAACAAAGATTCTTTCATGCCATATCATCAACTTTATCTAATAGTGGAATTAACCAAAGATATAAATGTATATTTGTGTATGTAGCCAAGGCGTCCAACTTAAAGATAAGAGTCCCTTGGTTTAAAATGTATTGCATGAAGGAACTAAAAAGGTATGCTACACAAAAATACAAAGATAAGAATCACATTTAATAGTCCTACAATCATCTTTAAAAAATAGCAGCTTCAGTTTAATGTTGCTGTCAAGACTCTCAGCTATTATTTGAAGGGAAAGAAGAGATAGTTTATCCTCAATTATAATCAACAATCAAGCTACTATAAGAGGCTGGTGCTCAGTATGCAAAATGTCATATTCAGAATTTGCAGCCTCGGATGCCCACTTCATCCGCAGTAACGACCGAGCTTAATTCTCCAAAAATATAGGCCATTATCAAAGAAAGATACACTAAAAAAGGAATCACTCCATATTTCAAATTATCCTGAAATGGAAAAGCCATTATAGAAAAGACCGATTAAAATAAAATTTCCTGTTGTGCATAAAGTGAAAGTGTTTTTCTTTATTAAATGGGAAGTTGTAAAGCTTCTCTAACCAGTCAATCCTGTTACTTGCACAATTGAATACTTGTTTTGTGGAATTCTTTTGCAAAGCTGAATCATTTCTTTATTTTGCTTATATAACAGAATTGGTAATTATTAACTCAAAAATTATGAGGAATCATCAAGTACTACAATGTTCAGTACTGTTTCTGTAAATAAAACTTCTATAAGGTGTAAGACATTATATAAGCCATAAAACAAGAACTTTGAACAGATAATTCTCAGCATGTGACATACCTGCTGAGGAAGAACTTTCTCTAAAACGCTTAAATTGTTTCCTTTCTTCTTTACGATGACTTATCTACAGTAACCTAATGGGCACAGAAAGGAACCAATTTAAATTTGTTCTCCTTTTAAGTCATTACGTCCAGCAAATGACCGAATGAAATAGAACTTATCTGGTATTAAGTCGCTTAATTCCAATAATTATGGTAATTGCAAAATTAGGAGATAATATAACAACAATTTCAGTTGCATCACTCTATTGTTGGCGCGAGAGGGACTCTGGATTCAGGCTCTGGGGGCTGGGGCGTTGAGGAGTTAATTAGATAGGGCTTGAGTCCATAAGACGATTGGGCTATATATGGGCTTTAGAAGCCCATATGCAATAGAACCAGAAGCCCATTCTAGTTGCCTATACTGTACAGCTCCGCCCTGGTAAACAGCTAATTTGGGAAGGGAACTTTACATAAATAGCCATTGTGATTGACTGTTTAATTTTTAATCCGATATATGTATAGGTAATACATTGCTTAAGTACGACTATACACATCATACATGATTATACATATTATATATCCGCCACGTATGTTTTATTTAAGTAGTTGGATGACTAGCTATTTGGATTAATTCGTACTGACTGTTTGACCACACACGAAAGTTCTTTTCACTTAATCATGATTAAATAATAAATATTCTCCCTTAAATTTAACTGTTTAGGTTAAATTAATTGATTGATTTGATGTAAACACCAATATACAGATAAATTTGCTATTACTTATGGAAATGCATAAAGTACCCATTAAACTTGTCATGAAAAATCATTTACACACCTAAACTTTACGTGTGTCCTAACACCTTACTATTCTTATCTTGAGTGATGACCTGACATGAAAAGTGTAGGTTCATTTCGTAGATGCACGTGAGGCGAAAAAAACAGCTTAAAACTAATTTAATTGTCCAAGTATCACTTTCCTATTGTATCTAACTAATTAAACTTAATACTATTTTTTCTCTTTTCTTTTTCATTTTTCGTTTCTTTTTCTCTTTCTTCATTTTAACAGAACCACGGTCACCCTCTTCCTCCCTATTTTTTGAAACTAAGTCATGTTTAATTTTTTGCTTCTTTTTTTTTTTCTTGTTGAATCTCTATTCACACTCCTCTATTTCCTCCGTCATATTCACCTACCCTTACAAATTCTATTTTATTGCTCATATTTTGTTCCATTAATCTCCTCGATTTGATAGAAACATAAGTTCTCTTAAGCAATTGAATCATGGATTTAGGTTAGAATAATTTTAATACTTGATTGGAGAGCTTGATGTTCGCCAATACCATTTTTTGTACAAGGAATTTTCTATCCTTTTCTCTTCGATCTGGGTGTGTGGGTTTCCTTTGGTGAGATTAATGTGAAGGAAAAATGGTCAAATTAAAGGTGTTAAAGTGAAGTGGTCGGGGAGGTGGTTCTGATTTTTCAGAAATAGAGTTATAGGTTAAAGGGAGGTTATGGCTATGACTGTCTTTCATGGTGGCGGGCTGCGAAAATAATAATGAAGGAAGGTGGAGAAAATGAAATGAAAAAAAGAGTGAAAAAAGGAAAGAAAAAGTAAAAATAAAATAAAAAAACGAAATAGTGCAGTATATGATACATGACGCGTGTTAACACAGTCCACCACAAGACTGGTTCGGTATTTTGAAGGAGGTATTAAATTTAGTTTAGGTAAGAATAGTGAGGTGTTAGGACACCCGTAAAATTAAGGTGTGTAAATAATTTTTCGAAACAAGTTTAACGGGATATTTATACATTTTCTCGTTACTTATGTCTCTTATCTTTATTAACAAAAGCATGATGAGAGAAACCAATGTTGCGGACCAGATGATAGCTTTGACTAAGATTTCTGATCGAAAATCCTAATTACGGGAAGCAGATAATGATTTACTCTCAAAGCTGGGGGCTGAGAGAATGTTAGTCCATTTCACTAAACCATCTATTTTGACTTTGTAATATCCCTTTGGATTAAAATAATACCCATTATTTATGCACAAAAATGTATTCTATCATGAGCAGTTGGAAACCGAGTCTGCCTTTAGTATCTTTGCTTAAATTTCAGTGAATAATTGTTATTTAGGCAGGAAAGGTAGATTTCTGGTCGTGAATTATGTAATTCGAAACACAATCACATTAAAATTTGTGTTATATAGTAAATCATAAAGGAAAGAATATAAACGGTGTTGAAAATTCAATCAGCCGTGTTTAAAAATTAAAACAACTTCCACGGTCCATAATTAGTGACGCTGATTATAGTACATACTAGTGTGTACGAATAAATAAAGTAAACGAACTTTAGAAAAAGAGTTTTTTCAATTACAATAAAAAATCTAGACAAAGTATGTTATTAGTGAAATTTCTATATATGCTTTGGCCTTTAGGTGTTCAATGCCCGAAAAACAACTAATTTCAATTTCCACCGTGTAAAACCCACTAAATTGGAAAGCTTTTGCCAAAAATATTTGTATTCTCAAGACTTGAATCCAAATGTTCAGACACAGCTCCCTTCTTTTTTTGGGGTGTGAAGCAGTGTCAAACCAAAATACCCAACAAGCATTAGCTCTCCCTAAAAAGAAGGAGGTGATTCAGCCGCACCTTCCTTCGGCATCCCCCTCCTTGCGGTTAAAGTAACGACTTTAGTCATGGCCAGCTCCCATAGTGTGACAGGCGCTGTGTACAAGGCCCGAGAATGAATTCACCGCCGTATGGCTGATCGGCGATTAATTCTCCTTCCATAATGAGGAATTTACATATAATACAACTTATTTAAATAAGTTACAACATCTTTTAGAAAATTATATTAAATATAATTTATTTTAAAATCTACAATTTTTCATATCCCAAATATATCTTTTGAGATTCTCACCTAAAATGTATCCTAATATATATCTCATGAGATTCTCTCACCTAAAACATATCTATCCGTATTAATTTTTTTACTAATTTCTCCATTAAAAAGTTCGAGTACATCCCAATATCCCTATCCCC